ATCTTATTTCATATTTTATGGCAAAGAAGGAACACGGATATAGAAAAATAACTCCTTTCCTTGGCATCACATCAGAAAATGTCGGAATGTTGAGTTTAGATTTGCTTTCTAATTAATTATTCTAGTATTTATGTGAATAAATAAATGCTGGTAACTAAAAATAAAAATAAAATAAAATAAATAAAATAAAATAATAAAATAAAATAAAATAAAATAAAATAAAATAATAAAATAAAATAAAATAAATAAAATATAAAATAAAATAAAATAATAAAATTAAATAAAATAAAAAATAAATATTTGCTAAACAAATCAATCCCAGTCTCCAAGGAGTTCATAGTGTACTGGGGAAACAGAGGTATATAAATGATTACAAATAGAAGGTGGTAACTAAGGCTCTCCTCTGTCTCCCATCTAAAATTCTAACATTATGGTGAATGTAAAAGGTTGAGAAATTTGCCAGGGGTGGGAGTAGTGTTGAGGGACACGGGAGAAGGACAGTTAAGGGAGAATGAACATTGCATATGCAAACATCTGGGGAAATGAATCAGCAGACTATTCCAAGAATTACAAGTAAAGCCATCAAAAAATAGCTTTTGAGATAAGGAAATCTAAAGAGAAATATAGTTTATACTTCAGATATGAGTCAGATCATAAAAGACTTTCTATTTGTTTGTTTCTTCCCTTACAGCTTTCAATATGATCTCGGAGCAATTTATTAAATAACCAGGTCTTTTTGATGCACCTTCCCAACAGGGCCGAAGCAACACTTGAAGGATTCTGAATTCTCTAAGTTAAAGATACAGAAGAAAAACCTAGAGTCACATTTAATTTGGCAAAGTAAAGGAGTGGGTGTGCTTCTATATCAAATTTAATTTGTACAAAATCATCATCTCTGGTAACATTATTTTTCTTGATCTACTTTGTTTAGACTACTTTAGTAAGGCTTGTCTCCCTTTCTATCTAAACACTGATTCACTTACAGCAAGCTGCAGGCTAACGCTGGTCTTTCAATACCTGCCAAATCCACAAGGTGTTAGTGGCACACAATTTTGTATAAAAGGTGAACTGAGACTTAACACAGTCTAAAGCTTTCCCCAGTCAAGGCAGCCAACCACAGGTGAGTTTCAGCAACTATAATTATCAAGTAGTGACAGTTACTTTTACAATTACAGATTTTTCAGGATCTGGAGAACAAATCTAGAGCTTTTGAACTACTATTGTATAGAGAATTTGTGCTTGTCAACCTGGTTTTTGAAATATGGTTAATACAATGTAAGCACTGTTAGCAGCAACTGAAATAGTCTTATTTTAAACAAAAGTGGGAAAAAAACAAATGAAAATATTCATGAGATGCTAAATATGATGAGCTAATTTCATAGTGTAGAATTTCTTTTTCTTTTTAAACAAAAATAGTCTTTAAAATTGTAACGAAGGGACAAATATGATCACAATGACTTGCTTCAGAGTAATCACTTTAAGACAATCAACAGTAATACTCTAATCTTTAAATACTGTTCTTCTTAAATCATTATATTGGAGGTTTGACCTATAATATATTTCTACTTTGACCAAAAAAAAAAAAAAAAAAGAAAGAGGAGGAGGATAAGAAGAAATATTTGTTCAAGAACCTAAAAATAGAAGAAGAAGAAAGGAAAATAATTGCTGGAACAAAATGTGACTGGGGCAGATGGGTAGACCCATTCATTTTGGTTTGGACGACTTACATAATGGCTATAATCCTTTTGTTTTTTGGTTTCTCATGGGTCTTAATTGTTTGTTTCCTAGTTCAGAATGAAGTCAGTCCAGTTGTGCTTCCTTTTCTGTTTCTGGAAAGCAATCTGCTGCAACAGCTGTGAGCTGACCAACATCACCATCACAGTGGAAAGAGAAGAATGTCGCTTCTGCATCAGCATCAACACCACTTGGTGTGCGGGCTACTGCTATACCCGGGTAGGAACTTTGCTGCAAGTGAGGGTGTTGAGGGTCTCTATGAGGCAAGCTTCATGAATTTTCATTAACCATTATTAATATGTTAAAATTCCCAAGCAATAGCCATGAGTCCCTCAGTCAATACTGTCTTGTGTTATAATTGGGGTTAATTACCATGGTATCAGTTAGACATTTAGAATTGGATTTCTTTAGGGTAAATTTAGAGAAGCCTCAGATTTGATATATCAATTTGATAATATGCCAACTCTGCCTTTCCAAAAAAAATGAGTTCTATGCTACTAGATTTTACATATAGAGAGATAAACATGTAAATATGCATATGTTTAGTAACAGAAGATCTACAATATCCACCCAAAGCCAATTTCTATGTAGATGTATTTCTATGTATTCTCCATATTTCTATTTCTATGTAATTGAAGCCATATCTCTTATAGAGATAGTACCAAAATATGTTTCCAAACCACATAAAAACACAAACAGCCATATTATAAAACTGTCTTACTGCCGTGCCTGAAAACAAATGCCAACAAGCAGCCTGAGAACACAATAAATCCTTGTAAACTGTTAGAACCCAAACGAATCTGCAAACCCACTCACCTCTTTATACTGTTGAGAAAAGCAAGGTACAGAGGCATAAAACCACCAGTTTGAATTCAAGCAGTTTCTTTGCGTTAATCCAAATAAAGAGGCATTTTCTGCTTTTTTAAAATTTTTGTTCAATATAGTACCTGGTTTTTCTATGCAGAGTTATATTCTATCAACTGAAATTGAAAATAGCAACTCTTTAATGAAATAAACTTTATTGGGTGGTAAAGGACTTTGATCAACCTCTTATTACACAATTTAACATATCCTCTTAGGATACAGACTTGGTAGCATGATGTTGAAATAAATTAAACAGCAGTACCAATTTCAGTGCAAATAATTTTTTTAGTAGAAATTGTTGGAACATACCTTTTCTGCCTGGATTAAAAGTTCTTATGTGCAAACTATGTATCCTTTGAAACTGAGAACATTGCAAAATATATAGCATTTAAGGGAGAAAAATGTCTACAAGATAGCAGAATATTTAAAATCTTACATGGGTCTTCATAGTTACGTTAAGCTAAGCAATAACATTTCATATTTTGTCTTTTTTGACCTATAAACATACAGGGACAATGTATTTTAAAATGTTTTCTGAGAAATTAAACTTCAGCATTTTATGGTTTAAGTTCTTATTAACATAGCTTTCTACTGAATGCAAAAAGTCAACTTTTTTTCATATTTCCATATTTTATCATTTTTATATATTGAAATTCAGTTTCTCTACAGTTTGAGGAAAAAGTGAATATTTTGATATTGACATAAAGAGTAGAAAAAAGAGTAACATTTTTTGCAAGATTTCCAGGAAACATAGTATAGTATATAGGTCATTTGTGAGATCATGTTTCCTAGGCTAGGAATGCCATAAGTAAGCTTTAATGGCTAAATGGTAGAGTAAGCCATATTAAATTCCTGTCTCATTTTGATTACACTAAATAGAAACTTCCAGAATACTGTGACCTAACTTTCTCCTTTTTAAACTCCTCAGGATCTGGTGTACAAGGATCCAGCCAGGCCCAATATCCAAAAAACATGTACCTTCAAAGAGCTGGTATATGAGACTGTCAAAGTGCCTGGCTGCGCTCACCATGCAAACTCCCTGTATGCATACCCAGTGGCCACCGAATGTCACTGTGGCAAGTGTGACAGCGACAACACTGACTGCACAGTGCGAGGCCTGGGTCCCAGCTACTGCTCCTTCAGTGAAATGAAAGAATAAGGAGCTGTGGATACTTTAGACTGCCTGCCCTTGTCCTGAAGGACCAAGATATCCAAATGTTGTGTGTGTACAACATGCCCAGGTCATAAGCCACTGTGGGCTAGGGGATTGTCAGAGCCCACTGATCCCAGCTCTCCGGGCAGAGAGGGAGTGTAAGGGTGCAGGAATTGAGAGTGCTGGGGTTGGGAGCCTGTCACCACTCAACCCTGTATCCTAGGTCTGATTTCATAAGTTTTATTCAGTCTTACTTAACTTATAGACACATGGGCGCTTTCTTGTTTAATATCCTCAGCAATCCTCTTAGGCAACCCCTCACTCTTAGAGATGGGGATAACTAAGCCCTAGGGGGTAGAAATGAGATGAGGGTGGGTGAAAGTAAAAAATGCAGCATTCTCCTGATAGATTCTTGGGCCCTCAAGAGCAGGGCCAGCATCTTCTTCATGATTATAGCCTCAATGCCTAGGACCATGCTTTGAAATTAGTAAGAAATTCAACAATGGCTTCCTTAAGGAAAGTAAAACCAGAAAGGTAGGGGGCAGGCAAACACTGAAAGGATGTTTGAGACTGGGTGATAAGGCTGTGCCGCCAGCAAATTCAGTCAGTCCACGGAAGTGTGGACATCAGTTCCACCTCACCTATCCTCCTTTGGCACGTGGAGTATTGGGACAGGATGCGTCTGTCTGAATTGCTCAGTACAGATATGAATTAAGATTTCTAAGCTTTTACTACTAAGCCCTTTAGTTAAGAGCAAAAGCAAGAAAGTTAATGTGGGCTTATGGAAATTAGCCCACACCTATTGCATGAATTAAACAAATTGAAAAAAAAAAAAAATGCTGTGAAGCCCCTATAAAACTCCCTTTGGAAAGGGAAAAAACAAACAAGAAACAACTATATTATTCTGCCCTCCGGGCTATCTTTGTAGACAGGGGAATTTGAAAGTAGGTTTGAAAGCAATTTCAGCAACTTATTAAGTACACTTACCTTATCTACAAAATGCATTTCTGTAAAGAAATAGCTCTTTCAGAAAGTTTTAGCCATGGCGGGGGAGGGGGAAGGGCTGTTTTCTAGAATCCTCTCCATATCAGTCTTCTCTTTTGTCTATCCATATTGTCCAAAATCTATGATTTGTTTCAAGAAGATACATATTGAAACTATTTCATGAGTTGATTTCTTTTAAAGAAGTTACATCTCTTAGGCACTTGTTTTACACTTATACTGTTTAACCAATGTGAGTAGTATTACCTATTTTCATACCTGGTCCATTAAACCCTCTCATAAGTGATTTCCATTCTCTTCCCGGTATCAGCTAAATGTCAACTCCCTGGGTGATCTTGAAAGCTCTGTGTTGATAACAGAGCTATTGTCAGCCTAGATTCCTGAATGTCTGCATAAAGTAGTTTGCCCCAACGTCAACAACTCTTTATAGAAAACTAGATTTCTGTGAAAAGAAGTGTTATTGTGAATAGTGTTATTGTATGGAAATGTCTCTACTTCATTGAATGCTGAGTGCATAGGGACAAGACAGATAACTTGTCTTTTTAGTTCATAGGTTGCCAAACTAAGAGGAGTCACATCTGGAATGATAAGAATGGCATCATTGAAATCAAAGGCCAGATAGATAAGGTCTTTGGAAAGAGAAGGAAATGGTTCCACATAAGAAAAAATAAATAAAACTGTATGTTCCTAGACATCTGGACTATGACAGAGATTATTGTGTTCACCAAAACCTTTTCTCTATTCTTCCTGAGGACATATCTAGTCTACTTTTCCCAGCCTCGCTGGCAGCAAGGTTTGATTATGTGACTGAGTTCTAGTAATAAAAGGTCATCAGAAATGATGTATGCTATTCTTGGTCTGGTTCATAACCTCCTGCTCCCAACAGGTGAATCATAGTCTCTTCCTTTCTTGGCTGGCTGAGTGCTGATGCTTAAAGCAACCTTGGTACCCATGTATAGAATATGGCAGAGCATCCATTAGCCTGTATCAATCACTGAGACACACATATATGCACATACCTGCTCTGAGAGGCCAATGTCAGTAAGAAATTAACTTTTCTTGTGTTAAGTCTCTAAGATGTGGGGGTTTATGTTATAGCAGGTAATGCTACCTTAACTAATACAAGCATCTACAGTGTTCGAGAAACTTAAATATGTTTCATCCCAATCCACATGAACTGAGTACAAAATTAGTTATTTTATATTGTTCACATATCCTCCCCAGAACACAAGCTGACCAGTGAACTACTCCACACAAATCCCAAGCAAGTTCTTCTTGCCTGTTCCCGGTAAAGTCCCTTTCCCTGAGGCAGGCAGTGTGATCAAAGAGTTATCAAGTGAGAAATCCAGGATTCAGAAAGTTATCACTTCAATGTACTATGCTCCTCAGGCTTCACTATGAGAGCATTTGGGGAGTCAATGTAGAGGTAGACCACTTGGCAACACTTGGCTAATGCTTAAAATTGACCCTCAGTTCACTGATAAGGTTTTAATGAAGCCAGGAACTCACATCACACTAGAAGAAAATGATGCATTTCAAATGGGATTACTTCAAAACCTCAACCCACCTGGGAAACAGAGAGTGACTCTAGGGGAGAGAGAATATGGGTTGGACCAAATGCTAGAAATTAGGACTAGGGAAATATTGGAGTTACTAAGCAATAGTCTTCAAATTTGGAGAATATTTATTTCCATCTGAATATAATTTTTCAAAATCTAAAGCAAAATATCTTTACTCCATTAGCATTTCTTTCTCAATCTCCAATGTGATGATGATTAGATCGGCAAATAATATCAATAATAACAAAACAATCTGAGCCACTTTGAAATATACATAATGATCATATCTAAAGCCCATACATAGAATATAATTGGTGCATTTAAAACATGGTTATTTAGACAATCAGCTCAGATTAAATAATGAAAATAATACATAACCATTCAGAACTAACTGAAATAATAGATACTGCATTTAGGAAGTCAGGTGACTTTAAAACAAACAGAAAAACAAAGGCTCAGAACACAGCACCTTAGATATAAGAGAGGACTGAAAATGTGGCAGTGATGAGTGTGCAATGAAGTCAGAGTCACTGGGTCAAGTTTACCACACCCCTCTGGTCAGAGCTCTTTTGGTGGCAAAGGACAGAGACCCATCAAGTTTCTTTACAGGAAAGGAAGGTTTTACTGTATGGATGTTCATGGATTTGGAACTAAAATTAAAATACCTAATGAGATCAAGGTAGTCTTTCTTGTTCAGGGGCCCTCAAGGTTCATTTCCAGCAGTCTTTCTTTTTGCATAGTAACTCCAATATCCACAGCATGAAAGTGGTTGTTAATAACAGAATCCTTTCAACACAACACCCAATAGCCATCAGAACTTCTCTTTGAATCTCTTAGCTTAAATTTCCAAGAGAAAGAATTTTATTCACTCAAATATTATCATCTCTGTTTGGGTAGAGCTCTTCACACAAGGCCATAAGGAAGGCCACTAGATACCCCAAAAGTAGGTTTCCAAGTACCCTAATAGTAGGCTGCCTTCAGAAGCAAGATAGAACCTTTGTCCCTTCAGCGGCCTCCCCATGGGCAAAGAATAGCATGATGTGGTTTTCTTAACCAAGGGAGAAGTGAGAAAGCAGTTTAATGTAGAAAGGGAAGTTGAACATGGCAGTGGGCAGATCGATTGCCATATCCCAGACAAATGTTTATCAGAAGTCAGACCCAACTATTTTAATGGCCTTCAACCCTTCTAATTGTTCTACATTGAAAAAGATAAGGCATATTGATCTGAATTCAGTCTATTTTCTGTACATTGGCCCCAACATATGAATATTATATGCTACTGTCATTAGTACACCAAACAAGCAGGATTCATCTCGTATGATCCTAAAAACAACTTTATTATGTTCTCCCACTGTCTCTTTGAATTTGCTCAGAAGAAGCTGTCCTCCTGCCATTGGATAAAAATGTATCGGGCTACATAGCATCACTGGTCACACTTGGGTAAAATCTTCATTATCACCTCACAAAACCTCCAGTAACCCAAAACCTCCAGTCGAGGCTAGCAATAAAAACTTCAAATAGGAGTTGATATTAAACTTTTCCCAGCCTTGAGATTTCTTATCTGAGATTGTTATTGCCTGCCTGCAGGTCGCTGGCCCCTCTGGACTGGAATACAGAGCAGGGAAAAGAGAAAGGGCCAAAAAAAAAAAAAAATGATTGCATGCTCTTAGGACCTAATAATGTTCGAAGCTCTTTCCGGAGGATGTGTCTGTGTTCTTTAGAGATGCCTGTGCTGGGATGCCTCCAACTGCAGTTCTAACCTGGGCAGTACACCTCCACAGATAGGTAGGCCTCTCCTGATGCCCCTCAGCTCCTTCACCTAACACTATACCTCCAGCCTTGGGCAAAACTCTCTTAAGCAGGACCCTTTATTAGACAGGCATTGCTGAAGTGAGTTTTCCATTCAGATCCCAGAATTCTCTAAAAAGTTTTTGGCCATCTGCTCTGATATTCCTAGAGAACGAACAGTCTATCTCAGGGTTCATTTTGGTATCTGAAATCTATAACATCTCAATGTCTTAAAACTCCAATAACATCCTGTTATACTACCTGATACACTGTAAGAAATCAATTGATCAAAAATGAAAAGAAACATTATGCTCACAATTTTTATTTTTGCCCTACCTTTTTAGTCTGATTGCAGGAACCTTCTCTTAGCTGTATACTGGTCTGTAAATCATTCTTGAATAACCTATTCTTGATGACTCCAAAATAAATGTAGTAGGGAATGCTACATTTCAGGAAACTGAAATGGAAATGATCCCTAGCTAGACACAGGCACTGTACGATAACTACATCTCCACTCAAATGTAATTTCGCCATCTCCTAAATTACATTTTCCCCACTAGTTCACTTAATATGCATCTGCAGAATGCTGTCTCAGAATTTCATTTTCCTTGGGGCAAAATGTTACATTCTCATCCAGCCTTGAACATGTTTATGTCTCTTGTTTATTTTCTTAAATAAAAGATGGGACAAAGACAAATGGCCAGAAGCTATAAGGAGGAGGCATATGGGTCAGTGAATAA